CAATAAAATCTCTTTCTAGACAAAACTGTTTTGAAAAATCCCATAGTAGGAGAGAAATAAATGGACAAATTCAACGCGCTTCAATGCGCATTTCTTTCCGAACGACCTAATAGTAGAAGGGCTTCGTCTGCTCAAATATCCTAAAGGGTGATCACAACAGATGAGCTGGACCAACCTCAGACTCTTTGTGCTTGTTGACGCCGAAGAAATGACTGCCTATGAAGAATTTGTGCCCCATCGCTCGCCCGATTGGGAACGACAAATTGACGTCGGAAATAATGTGCGACCAGAAGTAAGCATGCTAAACGAATAAACAAGATTTCGCAATGGTAATTCCTCAGAAAAATCAAAATTTTCATGAAAAATATAAAAGTCTGACCTTGTACCAGTGGAATATATAGTTGATATCGACCTTGTGAAGATCACTGAAGTGGACAATTTGGCCTTTATAGGTGGCCGTTGTGTTCCGCACTAATTCGTCCAACCTCTCCACCTTAACATCATTTTCAATATTGTTCGAAAATAATAATAAATTACTCAATAAAAGGAAATAGTGAAGCTAGAAAATAGGGAAGTAATCAAAGTTTTTCGAGAAATAAAAAACAAAGCATTTATCAACAACTAATAATAACACAGCTAACAATAATAATAATAATAATAATAATAATAATAATAATAATAATAATAATAATAATAATAATAATAATAATAATAATAATAATGAATAACACTACTTTACTCTCCTACTTGGCTATACCAGCCAAATCGTTTACGGGAATCAGCAGATCATCGCGCTTTTTTCGGAAATGCTCCCCCTCCTTCCTGCATTGGTAGGACCGGCGGCCAGAAAAGGGCATTCTCTCGCGACGACTCCGCCATATAATTCTTATGCATGATAAGGCACGGACGGTGTACCTTAAAGGCCAAAGTGGCACGATAAAACTCGAAAGAGACGTCTAGGTATTAATACGGCCTAGCAGGACATCATTCAGCGCTTCTAAGTAGGCTGCTTCGTGGACTTTTCCGGAAGTACCGCTTATAGCGCCCACTTACGTCATGCAACATACCGACCTGGCTCCATCCCCCGCGGTGGCCCCGGTCCATTACATGTCCGACCCGTGCTGATGTTTGCATCGTTTCATTTGCGAAGTACAGTTTGAAGCGAAGGGGTTGATATGAAGCAGCTGCAGTGCTACATGGATATTTGAGTACATACATGCGGCCGTATCCACCGTAGCGATTATTGGCACGATGCCAACGGAGGACTCGTCCGAAAGCAAAGTAGAGCAAGAGGGTTTTTGTAGTACTTGCCATTTCTCGCCAGCGCCGCCTGCTACATTTTAGACGGAGTATTCCGTCATCCAGGCAAGTTGATTAGGGCGTCGTCAACACATCGGCGCCGCAGCGCGTGCCGAGGAACTATCCTGATTTTTTCCGGAGGCTAATTTAGTCATTTTTCCACCTTGTGAAGATAAGGAGCTGCTAATCTGGGAAAAAGTAGCCAAAACAGTGAAAAGTTGGAAAAAATGACTAAATTAGCCTGGAAAAAGCAAATAGTTCCTGGCACGCGCTGCGGCCCGTTGACGACCGCCCTAATCAACTGCCCGGATGACGAGGGTACAAAATAATGTATCGTGCCTTTCAAAAAATCACTGTATTATATTACCTCATTGAGCAGCTCCATGGACATATTCAAGTATTCGTGCCCAGAGCCTCGTTTCGGTGTGATCAGAAGCACCCATATTTCCAGCCCATCACTGGTGACGTTGTAGAAGTCGGCGAATCTCTGTAATAATCACAGATTTATGAGTTTTGAGGAAAATAGAAGGGTTTCATTCTGTTTATGGCCTTGTTTTGGAAAAAGCCGTCCGCGAACGAGATGTGATGTCCACAATTGCTATGCTGTAATGTCGCTCATAAAATTTCGTACCGCTCACTAACAGGTTTAATGCCATTCCCAGAAAAACAGCCATATGGCAATGAAAATCATTTCTCGGAAATACAACGCATTAGCCATTCTGAGGAAATTCTACCACTCGTGATAATTACCTATTTGTATGATTATCTTTTAAAATCACCCAGGTAATTGGAAAAACTCGAAAAACAGAAGCAGCGGGCATAATAAAAAACACTGAGAGATATTGCAGCCAAAGAGACATAGAGCCAAGGAAAAATCCACGAAAAATTATAAAGTTTGCGCATAGAAGGAGCCAGGTGAGCAAGATTCGGGATTTCCTTTGTGACAGTAGAGGGAAGCTGATTTCCTCTCGAGGTAATTGGTAAAACCCCACCTGCACGGCCCGGACCCCGGCTAGACGAAACAATAAGACAACATTACTG